AGTAAGTCAAATTCAGTTTGTAGTTTTAGCCGCTGTGTCTCCAGAACAGGGTTTGGTGACCTGGCATTTAGCCTATCTACATCTAAAATTTTGTCAATGAGTTCCTGCTTTTTTAATTTCCTAGCTTTAATCCAATATGCATTAAAATAAATAATCCTTCCACGTATAAAAGCTTAAAATGTTTCCCATAGAAGTGATGGCGAATCTGATTCTGATTTGTTGGTTTCCAGAAAGAAATCAATGCTCCTAGAGATATAATCACAAAATTCTTTATCAGTCAACAACCCAGTATTAAGCTTCCAGCCTCCAGCATGTCTACATAAGTTTTGGGGGAAAGAAAGGTCTAAAATGTGTGGGGCATGGTCTGAGATAATTATCGCTGAATATTCTGTGGACTTAACTAGAGATAATAGAGCTTTGTCTATAAAAAAAATAATCAATACGCGAATAAACATGATGGACATTCGAAAAGAAAGAAAAATATTTTGCAGTTGGATTAAGGAAGCGACAGGGGTCTACACATCCCAATTGATCCATTAGAGATGAGAAGGACCTAGACCAGGGTTAGGCAAGTTCGGTCCTAGAGAGGCGCAGTCCTTTCCCCTGACCTAGACATTGACGTAGGAGCTGATGACTTGGGTTGTGAGCGGTCTAAATTTGGGTTGACTGTGCAATTAAGATCCCCACCTAAAATAAGGCGGTGAGTATCCAAATTTGGAAGGTGGGAGAAGAGTGCGGTCATAAAAGCAGGGTTATGATAATTAGGGGCATACACGCTAGCTAATATGACAGGTGTTTGGTACAGAATTCCAGATACTATTACGTAGCGCCCATCAGGATCGGAAAATACATTGTGTGGGACAAACTTAATTTAATTGAAAAAATTAATTCAATTGGGGGTTCAAACCTATATTCACAACTCTGGTGCTCGTCTTTTTGAACATGACGAGAAGCCAGAACATCAATTCACACAACCGATTAACCACATACCTGTCGACTCCTAAAACTTGAATATACACCCAAAAACAGCTGTCAAAGCTTAGTTATGTACAAAGTATATAATGTACAAAGAATATATATATTCTATGTATATATATATATATATATGTATGTATATATATATATATATATATATATATACACACACACACACATATATAAAGAAAAAAAGGTACATTTAAATTTGGTAAATTAGTATGTAAACGACCCGTCACAAGACGGTACTGCCAACAAGGACCAGGCGGCGTAGCTTTTATAATCATAAACAGAATAGCTTCAATAACATGCAACACAAAATCTATATAATTTGGGGATGTATGAGTAATATCAAAATAAAGCTAAGGCGCTCGTAGTGTAACAGTCCAATTTTCCTTCAAGCTAAATTATAAGTAAAATGAGAACTACATACTGTCTTTAAACTATTTACAGTAGCTTGTACCTGTTGAATTCAACTCCCATTTTGGAAATGTGTATTAGTCCACAGTGTTTGTCCAGGACTTAATTAGGAAAGTTCTGGTGATAGAATGATTCTGCTGCCTCAGGGGAATCGTTCCACACCGTTACAACTCACTCGGAGGCGAGCAGGGTACAGCATTCCGAAGCAAGCTCCTTGCTTGTAAAGTAGGCTCTTAATCTTGTTGAAAGCCGCGTGTTTCTTCGCCAGCTCTGTACTGAAGTCCTCGTACATCTTGATTTGGTGACCCTTGTAAGAAATGACCTTGTGATATTTAGCCCACCTCATGACAGTTTCCTTGACAATGTATCAGTGAAATCTAATGATCAGTGGACGTGGAAATTCCTCTGTACGAGGTTTGGGCCTCAGGCTACGGTGGGCGCGATCCAGCTCGGGTGGCTCTGCAAGGCCGTCGCCAAGAAGTTCGGACAGCAGGTTGGTCATGAACTCCCTTGTGCTCCTTCCCTCAATGCCCTCTGGTAGGCCTACCACTCGTAAGTTATGGCGCTTCGAGTGAGAAACCAGATCTTCTACGTTAGCTTTAAGCACCGTGTTTTCCTTTTCCATGATTGTGAGTTTTGATTGAAGAGCATTTACATCTTGCTCGACCTGAGTTATTCGGTCGCTATGATCTGAGAGACCCGATTCCATTTCGCTGATTGTCGCTGCCTGTGTTGTCAGGGTTGCGCCAATTGATTTGATTGAGGACCGGATTGGTTGCAGAGAACTATTTAAAAGTGCAACGAACTCTCCAGTCATGTCTTTTCTGAATTTTTCGAGTTCCTTAACTAGAGACTCGATTGTGAGCTGTGCAGATACGGACTCGTTATCTGCCATTTTGCTGCTTTCTTGACAGGCCTGCGCATGTTGAACTTGAGTCTGTTGCTTACCGCTTGTCCTCGTAGACTTGCTCATTTTGAATAAAAATTCTGAAGACGGGGTGTTTCAAAAATGAAAAATGGATGTAATGAGTTCGATGTATTGAAAAAATAGGGTGTATTATAAAAGGATTACATGAAATAATGCGGAGCTGAGACACCGTGCGTCCTAACGCCGCATTACCAAACCGGAAGTCTTCGTGTTCTTTGAATGTTGATGCTTTAATAACAAATATTTATCGGGAGCGTGTATGCTGGGATTTCATAAATGTCATGGAGAAAAAAGTAACGTAACAAGTAATGTAACTAAATCAAGCTAATTACCCTCCTCCATCCCCAACTCCTCCTCTGTCAGTCGGGATTCAGCCTTCTGATTCTCTTTTGAATAAGACTAATTCTAAAATGTGTACATAAAATGATTGAACTTTAACAATATCTGCAATACATTTATGTTAGTTCTGTTCTGTTTACCCTGGGGGGTTATTGCAGCTCTCCCTGCTCTCATCCATGCTAGGCTGCATGGAGGCGCAGGGAGTTCTTGCCCAGAACAGAACCATACCGCCAATCCAAACTGTATGCTAATTGTCAATCATCTTTGACGATAGTGGTCCTGACAGAATTACTAATTACTTTTGAAATAAAGTAATCAGAACAATAACGTGATTACTTTTAAATGGAGTAATCAGTAATTTGATTACATTTTCAGAGTAACTTGCCCAACACTGGATTCGAAACACCCATGTCACGTGACTAACGCCTGTTTCACACATACTCCGTCTGCAGTGCATATGCGGTCTGAGTGCGTTTCGTATGCGGTGCAGAAGCAGCACGGACTCACTGTGCTTTCACACAGGACGCGTTTGCAGTCAGCTCATGATCCGCGGCTGTTTAACACAAACACAACATTTATCCATTATTTTGATTTCAAATACAAACATAGTTAGCCTAAACTGAAAGCGTTTTTTCAGCATTGTGATCCTCTTTTATCACAGTACAGTTACACAATCTTTCAGACATATTTACGTTTAAACTCAATTAATATAAACAGCGTATTAAATGCATTTGGCTTCTAGATGTGTATATTAAGTTGCTCAAGCAAGTGGAAACACATTTGAACACAGCATATAGCTTTCTTGTGTTAGGTTATCACAAATATTTTAAATTAAAACTTACCACTGACAGAAACAGTCGGCTCTCGTGCCTTTTACATTTAAATCTTTATTACAAACAGTCCCGCGGGTCTTTGTTTAAACAAAAAACGTTGTTTTTCTACCTCCACAAGACACAAGTGCATATGTTGCCTTGTTTATCTAAAAGTGCACTTTTATTTGTTGCAAACCTTTATTCCAAAAGCCTGTGAAACACAGTAGATTTTAATTATATCTATTTATTGTGAAATTACTAAATTTCCGTGTCAATCCATGTTCATTTTTACCGTGAACTATGCGCTGTCACTTTAATTCAGCGCGTGCAGCACAGCAAAAATAGACTCGTGCGTAAACGATCGCTGCACTGCTGCAGACGCGCCGCACCTGGAACGCACTGACAGACCGCAACCGCGTGCAGTGTGAAAGCTCTAATCCGTTAACATGGGTGCGTAAAAAAAAAACGCAACGCACCCGCACTGCAGACGGAGTATGTGTGAAACAGGCGTTAGGCGCATCAAAGCATTTCACAAGTGTTTTGAGACCCGAATCTGCTTTTGATCGACAGGGTCGGGAACAAACCAGACAATCACACATCTGTCTTAACCTAACTCCTGCAAAGTATAAAAGTGGAGTTAATGCAGCAGAACAATTAATATATAAAAATCTTTATATGTAAAAATGCCAGACGTTGTGGCTTGATTTCTTTTATTAATGTTATTTTCATGACCAAAATAACATTCACAAAGAGTTCATTCAGTTGTCAGATTGATGTTACAACACATTACAAGAACAGAACAATAAAAACCCAACTTTTAAATATTTATTATAATTATATACATGCTTCATCCGGGATTCAAACCTAAACTGACAGGTTCTGACAACATGCCAGTCGTGCACACTAACCACTCCCCCAACCCACATGGTGAAGTGATGAGCACAACATATGTGACCCTGGAGCACAAAAGCAGTCTTAAGTCACTGGGGTATATTTGTAGCAATAGCCAAAAATACATTGTATGGGTCAAAATTATAGATTTTTCTTTAATGCCAAAAATCATTAGGATATTAAGTAAAGATCATGTTCCATGAAGATATTTTGTAAATTTCCTACTGTAAATATATCAAAACTTAATTTTTGATTAGTAATATGCATTGCTAAGAACTTCATTTGGACAACTTTAAAGATGATTTTCTCAATATTTAGATTTTTTTGCACCCTCAGATTCCAGATTTACAAATAGTTGTATCTCGACCAAATATTTTCCTATCCTAACAAACCATACATCAATGGAAAGCTTATTTATTCAGCTCTCAGATGATGTATAAATCTCAATTTTGAAAAATTGACACTTAAGGCAGGTTTTGTGGCCTTTTGCTTCAACTGTTTCAGTGTTTCACAAAGCCTCGCTCTGCCCACCACTACATAAGGGCAAAACAAAGCAACAGAAAACACGTAATAGTAAACAATAAACCAGCAACCAAAGACAAATAAAACCAGGCTTATATGGATGAGATAAGGTAAATGGGACACAGCTGAATGTAATGAGGCTTGAGAGTCAAGGCAAAGGGTGATGGGAACTGAAGTCCAGAGAAACAAACAAAACTAAGAAGCCTGCCCTCTAGTGGCTATACATGGGCACAGCAACTAGACGCTGTGACAAGGGCCCTCTGTGTTTCGGTTTCTTTTAGTCACAGAGTAACTTTACGTGAGCATTAACCAAAAGGCAGTTACCTAATGTTTTAGAGTTAGCTGAACAACTTTCATGTGCCTCTGGTCTAAAAATCTATATTTTTAAATGATTTAAATTTGTGATATGGATAATACATTTTTAGAAAATATAAAGGCAATCAAAAAATATTTTTAGATTTTATTTGTGAAAACAGGCGTCACAAATTAAAAAGAGAGGTAGGCTGCTTTCCAAAATCAGAGGTGAAGTTGGCCTTGATTTCTTAGATTTCGCAGACTCTTTAATCACCTTTAAAGAGAACTGATGCTTTGCAAATCCATTGTCATAATGGTTTTTCATTCCAAATAATATCTTTAACAAACTTGGTGGCCTGTCTTTCCTATTGAACTGCAATTTATTGCCTGGCAAGCATTGCCTTATCTAATTTTCAGCAGTAATGCCTTCTCTCTTGGAAATCATGTTTTGTCCCTAGCTTTTCTGTTCACAAAATTCTCCTCTGGATCAACTCTGATATAACTATCACTTTTACACTTCACAATACTATGCGGCCACATAGAAACTACTGATAATCATAAGGTTAGAAATAGTTAAGTATGTTAAGTGACAGATATGTGTATATTAAAACACTGCAGCAATACTTTATTCCCCTGCTGTCCATGTCAACATACATTTTATTCCTTGCCTTTATCTCCCAGTGTTACTGTTCTTTCTCTTTGTTAGACACCAAAAACTGAGGCTGAATGGCACCAAATTGCCAGAGATTTTGAAGAGAGGTGGCCGTTTCCACATTGTCTTGGTGCACTAGATGGAAAACATATTCATATCCAGCCTCCTGCTAAGAGTGGTAGCCTCTTCCACAACTACAAAGAAAGGATCTCTGTTGTGATGGCGGCAGCTGTGGATGCAAACTAGTTTATTCATGCAAATGTGGTGGAAGGGTGTCTGACACTGGGCTGTTTACCTCTGTAAAGAGATGCACCAGGGGCTTCTACAATTTCCTCCACCCAAACCATTGCCCAAAACAAATAAAGTGATGCCTTATGTGATTATATGGGTGATGAGGCATGTCCACTAATAAATGACCTAATGAAACAATATCCATATAGAGACATGGGCCATGATCAGAGGATTTTTAACAATCACCTCTCAAAGGCACGGAGAGCAATAGAGAAAGCCTTTGACGTCCTTTCTAACAAGCTGCGGGTGTTTGGATCCAGCATCTGCTTAAAGCCAGACAAGGTGGTTAAGATCACCATGGCTTCCCTTTGTGTCCACAATTTTCATTCGGGAATGCAAGTCAGATGCATACACTCCACCAGTCTTGGCAGATTGGGAAAACTCCAACCACAACGTTGTTGAAGGAGCCTAGCATAGATATGGGATGGGAGTTTTACAGCTGCTGAACTGTAATGATACACAACCCAAACATCAATGCTAAAGAACAAAGAAATGTCCTTAAGGATTATTTCACTTCACCTGCAGGTCATGTTTCCTGGCAGGAGGATGAAATTTGAACACTGTAGAAAAGTAACAGACATTCAACTATATATATCTATCACCTGGAAAAATTTGAGTACTTCACATTTGCAAATGTTTAATATGCATAGTTTGTCAAGGAGCTCTGATCGATTCTGTTAGCACTGTACCTACCACTTTTTAATTTCTGTGGCAAATATCTTTTATATTTATGTAATGTATATATAATGAACAAATTAGTGAATAAAACTGATAAATCACAGCTTCTATTTTAAAATGGCAGTTCCTCTATTCCCTTATTATTTTTAGCAGCAGTTATTTTTTTTGTGTAGCCTGTGCCAGTCCGCCTGCTGTAGTTCCAACCTCTCACCGAGTCCCTTCATGGTCACCAAATTTCTACCTTGTGGAAAAAGGTAGCAAAAGTCACTCAAGTCTCAGAGTTCCAGGTGCCAAAATTAGACTTAATTGCTGGAGACAACACAGCCGAGATACCTGCAGAACATCTCAACTGGTCCATTACAAATTCTCATTTTTTAGTATATTGTTGCCCAATAAACGTAAAAAAAAAAAAAAAGTTTTACATAATTAATTATCAGTCCTCTTAGCTTCTTTCTAATGGTGGGATCCTGCCAGTTAGTCCTTTTTTTAATAATAACCTTTCATTTCTCATTCGCTAGGGATGTACACATCATGTGAACTATTAGGGCAGTTTAATAAATGATTGTTTGCAACATATGGCCCTCACTTTTATACACATTCACGCTAAATATTTCAGAGTGGCCACAACATATTATCACATTCCAGTGTTTCACAAGTGAATATGCCATGACCTCAACATGCTATGATGTTCCCATGAGTTAATATGTCATATCACATGTCTCAAGTATAATTCCAAAGACATAATTTACATGAACAGATTACATAATCTCTGATGAAATTCACAGGTTAAATGTTATGAAAGAATCAAACTATATAAACCACATTGAAATCTTATGTCAACCTCGTGGTTAGAAAAAGGTGCATTCAAATGCATTCAAACTCAGAACTGCTCAGGTAATTTACATAAACTGCATGTAAAAGCATAAACATCTTGTACATAAACTTCAAATAAAGGGAGATTCAGTTACTAATATGACAGTATCACACAGAAACATGCAAAAATCTGATACTGGGTTACAAGTTATATTAAACATACTGCCAGGCATATAAAAAAGTGCTTAACAGTGCGCGATGCACAAATTCCTATCGCTTAATTCCAGAATAATACCATATACACTTATGATAAACTCTTCAACTGGCAATTATCATTTACTTAATAAACTAACATTTAAGGTAACTCACATTCCTTCATAGATGCACACTTTCACACACGCAGTCCAGCTCACACTGTTTTCACACTCACTCTCTACTTCTTGCTAATGAACGGTAGCACATGAGCACAGACCAGGCCTTTCTAACATCTTATTTCAAAAGTTGAAAAATATTTGACTAATTCAGCAGCATTTATTTCACCACTATTATGTGTGTTTATCCTTAACTTTTGCTTGTTTGTAGTTTTTAGGCCATTTAGCAGTTGGTACAAATATTGTCCACGTGTGTCCACATATGTTCATGTGATCACATGGGTTTCACACATTTACACTATGAAAATGTTTCAAAACCACATTTCATATGTGTTTCACATATTTCACATGTGATTTTAACATGTGAAGTTAATGTGGTTTTTCTGTAAGGGTCTTCATTTTAAATAGACAGCAATATGAACAACATAATATATTTAATATATTGTATTTAAAAACATATGTAATCATGTAAGCAAATTGCAAAAGCAAAAATGTTTCATTGAGGTTTATAACATTTAAACATGCAATGATCTGTATGCATTTCACAGATTTATATGTAGGCCTACACTAATTATATAAAACTAACCTGTTAATTATATAAAACTATACTGTCAGCGCACCATAGTTATAAAAATTTTGTAGATCAACGCATTCAATTCATAGGAATGGAAACCCATTGAAAAGATTAGGCTTAAAATATTCCTTATCCTGTGGCTTTATCTAGTGGACAGCATTAATATCACAGCCTTCATCTTTCATTTAAAATGGCATCATAAATTCATGAAACTAAGCATGCTTGCTCAGAACCACTTTGTTCTCCATGTCATTTAATGTTGAAGATCAAAAGTCTAATGAATATCTAATATAAACACAGCTTTATTGCTATTAAAATGACGCTCTTTTATGTCGAGATTACAAGAAAACAAGAAAGAAAAATCATTCATGCAGAAATCATGCATGGCCTCTTATGGCTTCCATACTTTTTGTCGCATCCAAGCAAAAAAGAAGGGCCTTGCCTAACGGACTGAACATTAATGTGCTGTACTTCACTTCAGTACCAACAAAATAGCTAAACAGAAAAGTTATCAAATATGAAATAAACTTTATTATGCACTATTGACACTTGTTGGGAAATAACTAAATAAAAGTAATAGCCTATAACAAATACATCTTGTTACACTTTTAAGAAGGATGCAATGTCCGTTCTTGGGGCAACACATTTATTTCTGTTAAAACAACATGAAAAACACAGGTTAAACAAGGCGCGCTTTCCGTTGTGTGTACACTGACACTCATCACGTACTGAATGCTACTTCTGTTCTGTTAGTCAGCTACCTTAACAGAGTATCATAAACAATAACATGTCTGATAGTGCAAATGTCTACGCAGATACATGTCGATCTGGATAAATGCAGAGCACTAATTCCGAGTATGGGTGACCATACTTGGCCAAACGTCACGTCACTTTTTCACTTTCACTTAACAGAGTATTGTAAACAATAACATGTCTGATAGTGCAAATCATCCAGCAATACCTGCTCTAAATCCACAAACATTGTAACAGTGCTCACTCTCACAAGGTATAAAGGAAAGGTATGATGAATAACATCACTAAAGTATCACAAACTCCTTTAAAATGAGCACAAGCAAGTAATGTATAAACTCAAACATAACTATGAAAATACCTATTTAGTATATATCCACATTACTCCAGCGTTGATAACTGCATGAAGCTGCATTAAAGGTCCCATATTGTCAAAACTGAAATAATTTTTCATTATAACTGAGGTCTAGGTGCTATGTAACTTCCATATAAGTTTCAAAACAGTCAGTCCACAGTAAAATTCACACAGCCTGCTTAAAGTAGCTGTGATTTTTCACGAACCGTTGTGACTTCCGTAAAAAGTTGACGTCAGAACTACA